GCGTGCGTGCCCAAGATCCCGAGAGGAGAATGGAGGAGAAGGGATTGCGGTGTGGCCATCCCCCCTGGGGGGTGATTTCTCGCTTTCTGTCTGTCTCTGTCTGTCTGAGGAGTGCACGCGCCCTATAGTGAAAAATCTCTCCCCCCCAAAAAAAAGATATTAAAGAGACACAAACTCACACCTATCTTTCCAGGCTGGGTTTAAAACTATTCCTCCCTCCAAACTTCCCTCCTTGTCCCTCTTTATTTCCTGAGGCACAGAACGCCTCTCTGTCACGGCATTTATTAATTCTTAACCCGCATGACGCCAGCTGGACGCAGATAAAACTCCGCAAGAGAAAGGCGGTTACACTACACGTGCCTGCTCTGGGCAGACAGTACAGAGCTGGTACCAGATACGGAACGTGTGAGATGACGTCATCCGGCTCCACTCAATCACGTGGTTGCCAGAGCACGTGACCCGTGCCTTAGCCATACGCAGAATGACGCACGTCGGTTCCAGATGTAGCATTTCACGTCCCTCCCTGCAGTGAAGTCCGCTGCCAGGGCCTAGGCCTCCTGAGTGGCGCACCGCCAGTCTCCTAGAAGTTACCTGTTTCCAGGGCCGGCTTAACACACCCGCACGGGGTCGCTGTGGGCCGAGGCCCTAGCTCCTCCACGCCGCGCATGGCTACTGGTCGCCGAGGTGTCCAGCCGACGCGTCAGAACTTCCGCTTCCGCTCTCGCTGCCTCGCGCCTGCGCATTAGCCGCACGAGTCGGGTGGCGCGGGGGAGGCGGGAGCGCGCGGTGCGCGGTGCTGGGGCGGTAGGGGGATTTCAGGCGGGTCGCTGAACCCCTCGCTCGCACCTGCGATGTGGTTGTCTCGGGCTCAGCAGCTGTCTGCCCGCTCAAGACAATCTGCAGCCCCGAGTTATCGCGCCTGCCGAGACATCGATGAAGACGCCCCAACTTGTCTCTAGAAACAATAAGCAGCTTACGTGGCCAGTGACCCTAAATTTTAAAGAAAACAGAAGCTTACGTGCAGTTACCACATAGCAGAAGGAGTGGATGCTAGGAAATGTAAAAAATTCTCCTTGGGTGATGGGGGTAAAGAAAATATATTGATATATATGCACTTTTATGTATGTCCCGTTTTTCCCTAATAAAAATGATGTTACATCAGAAGGGAACCACAAGTAATCTTTTCAAGAGTAATGGATGTTATAAAGAAGCCCACACCGGGCCAGGAGTTAATAGGAACTGTTTATTGTGCTCCATAACTAACGAACTGAGTGGAAAATGGTGTCATCGTGCTATGAACAGCCTGGGGGCTATTACAGTCGTATCTGAGCAACTCCGAAAAGTTGAAAGCCGGCAGGAATCTTTTTTTTTTTTCTTTTTTTGGAGAGGTTTTTGGTATAGGGAGTTTGCGCTCGCCAGACAAAGAGAGAGAGACAGAGAGAAAGGAAGCCAGAAATTACCCTCTAGGGGGGATAGCCACGCGGCAATCCCTTCTCCTGCATTCTCCCGGGAACGCCCGCACACGCTCCTGGCGTCAGTTTAAGCCTTACGGCCCGGGCCTCGAACTACGTGGTTGACTACATGGCAGTTCAGCGACATAGCCTTTATGCTAACTGCTGGTCCCAATCTTTTTCTCATCCTACGCAATGATCAAAACCCCACCTTTTACCCTCTTGTATTATCTCTCACGTATATCAAGTTTTTCCGTGTACATAATTCTCTTTCTGAGCCTTTTATCATGTTGGTTCTAGGAGAAAAAAACAAAAAATATATTATGTTGCAACAAATGTTTCAAAAGCATACAGATTTAAAAGCCCCAACCTTGATAAGCCTATTAGTTGTCATTAACTGGTAGAAAATAACCAGCAGTAGTAGTCAAGGATTTGAAGAGAAGATTGTAATTTAAATAATCACACATATATACATATACATGACTATATATATATATATATAGAGTCATAAAATTCATATAGTGTTCTCTAGCAGATACTTCCTACATGAAATTTGGGCAAACGGCCACTATTCTGGTTTTGGGTCAGTGCTATCCAGCTGGAAAAACAAGTTTCATACATACTGTGAAACTGGGCAGAAGTAGTTGCACTTGCCACTAGATGGTGCTATTGCCGAAGTGTTAGTCTCTGATTGTGGAAAGTCTAGCCTTGAAGACCAGAGGTACTTGCCCTCCTGAAGTGCTTCCTAGACATTAGGACAAAAAAGCAAACCAACCAACCCATGGTAGTTACCTCCTGTACAGATACTGAAATGTAAAGCAGACCTGGAGATACTAATGAAGTAGAACACTACCTTTATTAAAGGTAAATTTTCCTTTTACTGAGAACAGGAACTTAATATAATTTATTATTATAGTCTCTAAGGTTTTTATCTTCTTGTCTAGAGTTATATCTGATTATTCCTAAATTTATATTATATAAATATTTTTTGAGAGGTTTTTGCTATAGGGCATGTGTGCTCGCCGGACAGACAGACAGAGACAGATAGAAAATGAGAAATCACCCCCCAGTGGGGATGGCCATGCCACAATCCCTTCTCTTCCATTCTCCTCTCCGGATCTTGGGCATGCACATGTGCCCGGCGTGAGTTTAAGCCACCGGGTCCGGGATGCGAACCGCAGTCGACTAAATGGGAGTCCAGCGACATAGCCATTACACTAACTGCTGGTCCCTATTATATAAATATATTTTTTATATATGTTTAAAGTAAGACTTAACTCCTTTCTCTGGAGATAGGACTAGAAATTTACCTTTAAAATAAAATCTAATGGGCCAGCCAATGGAGTGGTGGTTGGGCGGCTGGATCCCACATGCTGGATTTCATAGTTCTAGTCCTGGGCCTGGTTCTTCAAAAACATGCCAGGTGTGTGTGCATGTGTGCCCAAAATCCTGAGAGGAGAATGGAGAAGGGATTGCAGCATGGCTCTCTCCCCTAAGAGGTGATTTCTCTCTCTCTCTCTCTCTCTCTCTCTCTTTCTGTGTGTGTGTGTGTGTGTGTGTGTGTGAGACCAGCGCACATGCCCTTCAGAAACAAACATGCCTAAATAATTCTACCAGTGGTCATTAGCCTATAGTACTGTGAGAAACACTTCTCAATGCAGGGATTTTTCACCTCTCATTTGAGTATAGGGCCCGCTTGAGAATTAGTTAGTATTTTGGACCTTCGTAGGCATCATTCTGGATGTAGTAGTGTGGGGTTCCTGGCTTTCTGAGAACAAGCATTGAAACTAACAGGACAGGAGGACAGCACAAAGTAGGGAGAGATGGATTCTTGCAAAACGCTTAATTTGGACCATGACCTCAAGACTCTAAGCCGAGGAGAAAACAGAAGTGTTTAGATGCACACTAGTGTTTGGATGAAATGGTGAGAAAGCGGAGGTTGTCTATTGGGAGTGGTGTCAGAGGGCAGGCAGAGAGGTAAGAGGCAGAGAAAGTCCTGCTTCCATCCACTCTCCCGTCTCTCACCTGCATGCCCCGTGTGTTGGACGTATACACATCTCTTAAGGGTCACTTTTGTGTGACACTAGCAGAACGTCAGGTTTCAGTTAACTGTTTTCTCATCTTGATGTATTCTGGCCAGTAAAATTGAGATAGAAGCAGCATTCCAAAGATGGAGCATCATTGTGAAAGACGAAGTCAGATGTGACTCTGGGTGAGTGTCCAGCTTCTCTGAGGTTATTGCTTCATCTGTAAAATGGGAGTGATAAAATGTCTATTTCACAGACTCTTGAGCAGATCAAATAAAACGGTTGATGTGGAAGTGTAAACACTAAGTGCTATCCAGTTGTAAGGCGCTAGTAGTGGTGGTGCTGCCCTCAGTATCCTACTTGGTAATACAATGGGGTAGGAGGAAATCATTGATGAATATGTCCTCAGGGGAAAGAACTGAATGTACCCCCAGAGAGGGTAGCCAATAAGAAGGAAACCAGAGGAAGGAGGCGGAAACCGCCTTGTAGCTTCCTACTATACCAGTGCCTCTCAACTCTAGCTACGCATACATGTTAGAATTGTTTAGAGAACTTTTAAATAAAAATACTAGACCAGTTTGATGCTCTAATTTATCAGGGGGAAAAGTCATTATGTTCATCCAGATTGATTTGTCGAACATTTGCTAAAGACTAGTTCTTGGGGCCAGCAGGTGGCATGGTGGTTAAGACGCTGGACACTCCCACATGGTCGACCATAGTTTGAGTCCCGGACCTGATGGTTTGCTTTCTCACGTTCCCTTTCTGTGTGTGTGTGTGTGTGTGTGTGTGTGTGTGTGTGTGTCTAGTCAAATTAAGATGAATGAATGAATAAATTAAATTAAATAATTTTTTTTAAAGATGAGATCTTTTTATTCATTCATTTTTTGCTATGTGGCGCATGCACTTGCTGGAGACAGGGAGAAAGGGAAAGTGAGAAATCACCCTGTAGCGAGGATGACCATGCCACAATCTCTTCTCTTCCACTTTCCTC